CATAAAATATCAGGGGAGGAGATCGACTCAACGACTCTGGCGTATGTATGTGTATGTGTCTAATGACACTGATCCAGTCCTGGTTTAGTCCTGGTTTAGTCTCGGTCTAGTCCTGGTTTAGTCCTGGTTTAGTCTCGGTCTAGTCCTGGTTTAGTCCTGGTTTAGTCTCGGTCTAGTCCTGGTTTAGTCCTGGTTTAGTCTCGGTTTAGTCCTGGTTTAGTCCTGGTTTAGTCTCGGTCTAGTCCTGGTTTAGTCCTGGTTTAGTCTCGGTCTAGTCCTGGTTTAGTCCTGGTTTAGTCTCGGTCTAGTCCTGGTTTAGTCCTGGTTTAGTCTCGGTCTAGTCCTGGTTTAGTCCTGGTTTAGTCTCGGTCTAGTCCTGGTTTAGTCTCGGTCTAGTCCTGGTTTAGTCTCGGTCTAGTCCTGGTTTAGTCTCGGTCTAGTCCTGGTTTAGTCCTGGTTTAGTCTCGGTCTAGTCCTGGTTTAGTCCTGGTTTAGTCTCAGTCTAGTCCTGGTTTAGTCCTGGTTTAGTCTCAGTCTAGTCCTGGTTTAGTCTCGGTCTAGTCCTGGTTTAGTCCTGGTGATCCACTCAGTGATTGTGGTGTATATATTTATTCTCCGCTCATGTTTGTATGTTGGGTTCTTGGGTCTTTCTCTTTCTTCTTGATAATAAAGTCGGTGCGTCTCTGGATACTCGTCCCTGATTGGTTGACGCGGCGCGTCTGACGTGAAACGTTCAGCATTTTCAACTTTCGACGATCTAGACAAGCATTCAAGGCATTGACGCCTGAAGACACGCCGCTAAAACGCTGGACGCCCCCGACACTCGTCCACATAAACTTTACATCTAAACTGGACACGTTGACGCTCGGGTGTAAACGACCTTTAACAGAGGAGGATTTGATCTTTCACTCACTTTTTATTTTACAATGATAGACTCAGGAACAACAAACAACAATCTAAACAATACTTTAGAATCACTTTTGGTGTCATATCGGCTTTAATCAAACGCACTCGCACATGCACCCACGACATGACTCAAGAATATACACGATCTTTTTCTCAGACTCTCACAAGTTTTCCTCAGGAAACGTTGAGATGCTGAGACATTTGTGTGTGACATGACACAGTTTTATAGAGAGTAAATGTTTGAGCTCAGTGTGAGTAAAAGATCAGGTGAGTGTGGGAGGAGCTGCTGTCCGTCTCTGCTGCTGCTGGACACGAGGCCGAGCAAACGACACACGAGACACTCCCAGAGTCTGGACTCAAGTAACCTGAATGTCCACAGACAGACCGGGCAGGACTGTGCGTGTTCTGTGTGTGTGTGTGTGTGTCTGTGTCTGTCTGTTTGTGTGTATGTGTGGGACGTCTTCTGGTCTTTGTGAAAAAGGTTTATGACACGAGAGACAAAGTGTGTCCTCACCGACGTGTCCTCTGAGTCCGACGTCTGGGACGTGATGACGGCGTTGAAGCTCGTGGGAGTGACCGGACTCAGCTTCTTCCTCATGGCTCGGATCTGAAGCAGCGCCCGGAACGCTGACACACACAACACAAATACACATACACACACACACAAACACACAAACACACACACACACATATACACACACACAAACACACATACACACACACACAACACAAACACACACACAAACACAAACTCAAGTAAGAGAAGTGATGTAAACATGTAAACGTGTAAACGTGAACAGAGTGGAGGTGCAGTTCCTTACGCAGCCTGCAGATGGGGCAGCAGTTGGCCTGGTAGCGCAGGGTGTCGGCGCAGGCGTTACACAAACACAAGTGACGACACGGCAGGATCAGAGTGTCACGCACATCCGACAAACAAACCACACACTCTGCACTGTTGTCACTGATCTCATCCTCCGACACCTGACGGACAGACAGAAGAGAGGGAGAGAGAGAGAGAGAGAGGGGGGGTGAGGAGAGGGAGGAGAGAGAGAAGGGAAAGAGAGGAGAAGAGAGGAGAGAGCGAAGAGAGAGAGAGAGAGAGAGAGAGAGAGAGATGGGGAGGAGAGGAGAGAGAGAGAGAGAGAGAGAGGGAAAGAGAGGAAAGACAGGAGAGCGGAGAGAGAGGAGAGAGAGAGAAGGGGGAGAGAGAGAGAGAAGAGAGAGAGAGAGAGAGAGAGAAGGGGGAGAGAGAGGGGGAAGAGAGAGAGAGAAAGATGGGGGAGAGAGAAGAGAGAGAGAAGAGGGAGAGAGCGAGGGGAAATGACAGAGAGAAGAGAGCGAGAGGAGAAGGAGAAGGGGGAGAGATAAATGGCGGAGAGAGAGGGGCGGAGAAAGAAAAGAGAGAGGAGAGAAAGGAGAGAGAGAAAGAAGAGAGAGAGAGATGGCAGAGAGAAACAAAGAGAGAGAGAGGGAGGGAGAAATAGAAAGAGAGGAGAGAGAGACGGGGGAGAGAGGAGGGGAGAGAGAGAAAGAAGAGAGGAGTGGTTACACATTAGTATAGTTGAAAAATGTCGACTCAACACTTTTGAAACATCACAGAGCAGTGGGCGGGGACAGGTGGGAGGTGACGCTTTAGTTTTCAGATGTTTTCAGTCTCACCTTTGATTCTTGGCTGTTGTATTTGTTCTCGATGCCGTAAATCTCCTGAAGAAGATAACTCACTCCATCCACCTGACACACAGGAAGAGGGTCACCAAAATAAAAGCATGGACCAGAAAGAAATAACAGGGTTAACAAAATAAAAGCATAGATCAGAAAGTAAAGAGTTAAGAAAATAAAAGTCAGGATCAGAAAGTAAAGTGTTAACAAAATAAAAGCATGGATCAGAAAGTTTAGAGGTTTAAAAAAATAAAAGCACCAATCACAAAGTCATGAGGTTAACAAAATAAAAGCATGGGTTAGAAAGTAAAGAGGTTAACAAAATAAAAGCATGGATCAGAAAGAAGTAACAAGGTTAACAAAATAAAAGCATAGATCAGAAAGTAAAGAGTTAAGAAAATAAAAGCATGAATCAAAGAGTAAAGAGTTAAGAAAATAAAAGCATGGATCACACTTAATCAAACTGCAGAGAAAAAATAAAAGCACAAATAAAATCCCTCACCACTTGTTTCTGTTTGAGAGGTTTCACACAGTAACTTCCGTCCATGTGCTGCAGAAAACAAAACAAAACAAAATAAACGATTACATCTTTTTGATATTAAAGTAAACTGGCGTCAGAGTTTTGCTCCAAAATCTTTTCAAACTATTGATTTCTTGTGGGATAAAACTGCAGATGATCTTTACCTTTTCAAACGTGGCGAGCAGAATATGAGAGTGTCCCATGTGCTCTGGAAGAAACAAAAAATCAATCATACAAAACACACGATACTGAGGAAAAGAATCAATACTCAATACTCGACACTGACACTGATACTGATACCAGGATGAAAATAAAAACACGCGTTAGAGCAGGGTTACCAAACTCAGATTTACAGAGGTCAAAATTAAAAACTGGGACTAAGTCGTGGGTCAAACTAAATATTTAATGAAACATTTCAACAACATCTGCAGGTTTTCTCTTCTTTACAGATCTGTACAGTTAAAACTTTTTCTTGTTCAAATAAACGTTTAATAATAATTTTACTTAAACACTGAATCCAGAACAAACAGAATATTAAATAATAACAACATTTTTAATAAATAAAGTCTCTATAGTCGCTCTAATACAGATTTGATATGATCTCATGGGCCAAATATTACAGGCCGAATTTGGCCCCCAGGCCTGAGTTTGACGGGTCTGTTTTAGACAATAAAAAGTGATTTTCTACATTAAACAGTCGAACTTTATTTTCTGTTCCCGTGTGACTTTATATCTGTGTGTGATCACACAGTGTCCAGAGAGAAGAGAGAGAGAGGGAGAGAGGGAGAGGGAAGAGAGAGAAAGAGAGGGAGAGGGAAGAGAGAGAAAGAGAGAGAGAGAGAGAAAGACTGAGAGAGAGAGAGAAAGACTGAGAGAGAGAGAGAAAGAGAGGGAAGGAGAGGGAGAGAGAGAGAAAGACACAGAGAGAGAGAGAAAGAGAGGGAAGGAGAGGGAGAGAGAGAGAAAGACACAGAGAGAGAGAGAAAGAGAGGGAAGGAGACGGAGAGAGAGAAGGATAGCGAGAAGGATAGAGAGAAGAGAGAGAGAGAGAGGAAAGAGAGAGAGAGAGAGAGACTGAGAGAGAGAGAAAGACACAGAGAGAGAGAGAAAGAGAGGGAATGAGGGGGAGAGAGAGAAGGATAGCGAGAAGGATAGAGAGAGAGAGGAAAGAGAGAGAAAGAGAAAAGTGAGAGAAAGAGAGAGGGAGAGAGAGAAGGAAAGACAGAAGGATAGAGAGAGAGAGAGGAAAGAGAGAGAGGGAGGGAGGGAAATAGAGAAAGAGAGAGACAGAGAGTGAGTTTTTAAAAAATTTTTAACAGACCTTTATTGTGTCCGTGAAAAAACATTTACACCAAAGAGAGAGAGAAAGAGGGAGAGAGAGAGAGAGAGAAAGAGACAGAGAAAGAGAGAGAGATAGCGAGGACAAAGAGAGAAAGAGAGGGAAGAGAGAGAGAGAGTGAGAAAGAGAGAGAAAGACAGAGAGTAGAGGGAAAGAGAGAAAGAGAGAAGGAGTAAGGGAGAAGGGAGAGAGGACGGCGAGAGAAAGAGAGAGAGACAGAGGTATATTTTTGAGTGACAGACCTTCTCCTTCGTCGACCACGGCCTGAACCACCATCGGGAAAACTTCTTTGTCCATGTCAAACACCAACTGTCACAATAAAGCCAACATTATTATTATATTATTACTGTTCTGTTTAAAGTTGCACTGTGGAACTTTTCTGGTGAAGCGTCCGTCAAGTGTTTAGTCTGGAAAGTTTCACAGTGCGGCATTAAAACTTTATAGCGTTCACAAAATATTATTATAACAACGAGAAAAAATATAAACGGTGATAAACTGTGGTCGAGCAGAGACGTCTCCATAGAAACAAGCAGGTGACGGAGCCCGACAGAAATGTTCCAGAGTGTGTCTTTAGTCGTTTAGAGCGGGGGGTGGGGTGGGGTGGGGTGGGGTCGGGTGGAGTGGGGTCGGGTGGGGTCGGGTGGGGTGGGGTGGGGTGGGTCGGGTGGGGGGGTGGGGTGGGTGGGGGGGTGGGGTGGGGTGGGGTCGGGTGGGGGGTCGGTGGGGTGGGGTGGAGTTGGGTCGGGTGGGTGGGTGGGGGTCGGGTCGGGTGGGGTGGTGGGGTCGGGTGGGGTGGGGTTGGGTGGTGGTCGGGTGGGGTGGGGTGGGGTCGGGTGGGTGGGGTCGGGTCGGGTGGGTGTGGGGTGGGTGGTGGGGGGGTCGGGTGGGGTGGGTGGGGTCGGGTGGGTGGGGTGGGTGGGGTGGGGGGGTGGAGGTGGGGTCGGTGGGTGGAGTGGGTCGGGTCGGGTGGGTGGGGTGGGGTCGGAGTGGGGTCGGGTCGGGGTGGGGTCGGGTCAGGTGGGGGGGTGGGGGGGGTCGGGGAGGTGGGTGGGTCGGGTGGGTGGGGGTGGGTGGGGTGGGTGGGGGGTGGAGTGGGGTCGGGGGGGTGGGGTCGGGTGGGGTCGGGTGGGGTGGGTGGGGTGGGTGGGTGGGGTCGGGTCAGGGTGGGTGGGGTCGGGTCGGGTCGGGTCGGGTGGGGTCGGGTTCAGGTGGGTGGAGTGGGGTCGGGTGAGGTGGGGTCGGGGTGGGGGGTCGGGTGGGTGGGGTGGGGTGGAGTGGGTGGGGTGGGGTCGGGTGGGGTCGGGTGGGTGGGTGGGTCGGGTCAGGTGGGGGGGGTCGGGTTGGAGTGGGGTGGAGTGGGTCGGTGGGTCGGGGTGGGGTGGAGTGGGGTCGGGTGGGGGGGGTGGGTGGGGTGGGGTGGGTGGGGTGGAGTGGGGGTCGGTGGGTGGGTGGGGGGTCGGGTGGGGTGGTCGGTCAGGTGGGGTGGAGTGGGGTGGTCGGTTGGAGTGGGGTGGGTCGGTGGGGTGGGGGGGTCAGGTGGGTGGGGGGTCGGGTGGGTGGGGTGGTGGTGGGTGGTGGGTGGGGTCAGGTGGGGTGGGGTGGGGTGGAGTGGGTCAGGGGGGTGGGGTCAGGTGGGGTGGAGTGGGGTCGGGTCAGGGGGGTGGAGTCGGGTCGGGTGGAGTGGGGTCGGGTGGGGTCAGGTCAGGTGGGGTCAGTGGGGTGGGGTGGGGTGGGGTGGGGGTGGAGTGGGTCGGGTGGTGGTGGGGTGGGTGGAGGTGGGGGGGGGGTGGGTCGGGTGGGTGGGGTCGGGTGGGGTCGGGTGGGGTCAGGTGGGGTGGGGTGGGTGGGTGGGGTCGGGTGGGGGAGTGGGGTCGGGTGGGGTGGTGGGTTCGGGTCGGGTCGGGTGGAGTGGGGTCGGGTCAGGTGGGTCGGGTGGGTGGAGTGGGGTCAGGTGGGGTGGGTCGGGTGGGGTGGTGGGTGGGTCGGGTCGGGTCGGGTGGAGTCGGGTCGGCGCTGGTCTCACCTCGTCGTCGCTCCACTCGCTCAGGTTGACCGAGTGGGACGGTAAACAGAAGTGCTGAGAAACGCCGCGCTTAAAGTGAACCGTCTCCGACTGAAGAGAACCGTCCTGAGGGAGGTACCTGACAACACACACAGAACCGGGTCAGAACCAGGACCAGAGACCAGACCAGAGACCAGAGACCAGACACAGAACCGGGTCAGAACCGGGACCAGAGACCAGACCAGAGACCAGAGACCAGACACAGAACCAGGTCAGAACCAGGACCAGAGACCAGAGACCAGACCAGAGACCAGACACAGAACCGGGTCAGAACCAGGACCAGAGACCAGACCAGAGACCAGACACAGAACCGGGTCAGAACCAGGACCAGAGACCAGACCAGAGACCAGACACAGAACCGGGTCAGAAACCAGGACCAGAGACCAGACCAGAGACCAGACACAGAACCGGGTCAGAACCAGGACCAGAGACCAGACCAGAGACCAGACACAGAACCGGGTCAGAACCAGGACCAGAGACCAGACCAGAGACCAGACACAGAACCGGGTCAGAAACAGGACCAGAGACCAGACCAGAGACCAGAGACCAGACCAGAGACCAGAGACCAGACACAGAACCGGGTCAGAAACAGGACCAGAGACCAGACCAGAGACCAGAGACCAGACACAGAACCGGGTCAGAAACAGGGACAAGAGAGAGTCCAGTGAGAGATCGGGTCAGAACCAGGACCAGACCAGAGAAAGACCAAAGAAAGACTAGAGAGAGACCGGGTCAGAACTAGACCAGACCAGGACCAGAGAGAGACCGGGACAGAACCGGGACCAGACCAGAGAGAGACCGGGTCAGAACTAGACCAGACCAGGACCAGACAGAGACCGGGTCAGAACCAGGACCAGAGACCAGACCAGAGACCAGAGACCAGACACAGAACCGGGTCAGAACCAGGACCAGAGACCAGACCAGAGACCAGAGACCAGACACAGAACCGGGTCAGAAACAGGGACCAGAGAGAGTCCAGTGAGAGATCGGGTCAGAACCGGGACCAGACCAGAGAGAGACCGGGTCAGAACTAGACCAGACCAGGACCAGACAGAGACCGGGTCAGAACCAGGACTAGAGAGAGACCAGAGAGAGACCAGGTCAGAACCAGACCAAAACCAAACCAGAGAGGGACACGGGTGCAGTGGGGCACAGGGGGGCACAGTGGGGCACAGTGGGGTACAGTTTGGTACAGTGGGGCACAGTGGGCACTCACGCGGGCACAGTGGGGTATAGTTTGGTACAGTTTGGTACAGTTTGGTACAGTGGGGCACAGTGGGGTACAGTTTGGTACAGTTTGGTACAGTTTGTACAGTTTGGTACAGTTTGGTACAGTTTTGTACAGTTTGGTACAGTTTGGTACAGTGGGGTACAGTGGGGCACAGTGGGGTACAGTGGGGTACAGGGGGTACAGTGGGGCACAGTGGGGCACAGTGGGGCACAGGGGGGCACAGGGGGGCACAGTGGGGTACAGTTTGGTACAGTTTGGTACAGTGGGGCACAGTGGGGCACAGGGGGGCACAGGGGGGCACAGTGGGGTACAGTTTGGTACAGTGGGGTACAGTTTGGTACAGTTTGGTACAGTGGGGTACAGTTGGGTACAGTGGGGTACAGTGGGGTACAGTGGGGTACAGTGGGGTACAGTGGGGCACAGTGGGGTACAGTGGGGTACAGTGGGGTACAGTGGGCAACTCACACGGGCACTCCGTTGTGGAACTCCTCCGTGGCCTGGTAGTAGATGGTGATGGCGACCTGAGTGTCCGAGTCAAACGTAAACTCCACGTTGTAACAAGCTCGACTCTGATTGGCCGCTTCGTCGCCGGGCAACTTTAGGTCCTCACTGCAGCTACGAGAAAAAACAGAACTGAACCAGGACTAAACCAGGACTAGACCAGGACTAAACCAGGACTAGACCAGGACTAGACCAGGACTAGGACTAACCAGGACTAGACCAGGACTAGACCAGGACTAGACCAGGACTAGACCAGACTAGACAGGACTAAACCAGGACTAGACCAGGACTAAACCAGACTAGACCAGGACTAGACCAGGACTAGACCAGGACTAAACCAGGACTAGACCAGGACTAAACCAGGACTAGACCAGGACTAACCAGGACTAAACCAGGACTAAACCAGGACTAAACCAGGACTAGACCAGGACTAGACCAGGACTAAACCAGGACTAGACCAGGACTTACCGTACGAGTCGGAGCGTGTCTTTCCTGATGTTGATCAAACTTCTCAGAGTCTTCACAGGTTCATGAGGCGGAGGAGCAGCGTATGGGAACTGAAAACACAAACACAACAAAGATTAGACCTGGTTTAGTCCTGGTTCAGTCCTGGTTCAGTCCTGGTTTAGTCCTGGTTCAGTCCTGGTTTAGTCCTGGTTCAGTCCTGGTTCAGTCCCGGTTCAGTCCTGGTTCAGTCCTGGTTCAGTCCTGGTTCAGATCTGGTTCAGTCCTGGTTTAGTCCTGGTTCAGTCCTGGTTCAGTCCCGGTTTAGTCCTGGTTCAGTCCCGGTTCAGTCCTGGTTTAGTCCTGGTTTAGTCCTGGTTCAGTCCTGGTTCAGTCCTGGTTCAGTCCTGGTTTAGTCCTGGTTCAGTCCAGGACCCACTAAACAAGAAACAGTCGTTATCTGTTTTTTTTATTCTTCATTTAAACACAAAATCGAAAACTGACAAAATCATGATCAGTTTTTTCATTTTGGTTTTGGAGACAAATAATGAAGAAAATTTAAGTTTTTTCATTTTCTTATTTTTGATTTTATTTTGAAAAACGAATTAACAAATGACACATGGATCCAGCTGCTAACGGCTTCTCGGTTTGTCGTTGCTCCACGGACACAAACACAAAGGAGGAGAAGAGCGTCGGAGAAGGAAGGAAGAAGACAAAGTGAGTGTGAGGCTGTTCCACCTCAGCCCACCCCCACATCCCTCTCACAAATCCAAAGAGACGAGGAGGAAAGTCCAAAGCCACGACTGATGGAGCCGGATCGAAGGACGACGCAACCATCAAGAACGACCGGAATTATTTTTCATTAAAAATTTTCCTACATTTTGCCCAGATTTTCACTTTATGAGAAGCAAAACTGTCATTACAGGAGTTTAGTTAGTCCAATTTTAATCCTGTTTTAGTCCTTTTTTTAGTCCAGTTTTAGTCATATTTTAATCCAGTTTTAGTCCAGTTTTAGTCTTGTTTTAGTCCAGTTTTAGTCTTGTTTTAGTCCAGTTTTAGTCCAGTTTTAGTCTTGTTTTAGTCATATTTTAATCCTATATTAGTCCTGTTTTAGTCCAGTTTTAGTTCTGTTTTAGTCCTTTTGTCATCCTGTTTTAGTCCTATTTTAGTCTTGTTTTAGTCCTTTTTTTAGTCCAGTTTTAGTCATATTTTAATCCAGTTTTAGTCGAGTTTTAGTCTTGTTTTAGTCCGGTTTTAGTCTTGTTTTAGTCATATTTTAATCCTGTATTAGTCCTGTTTTAATTCGGTTTTAGTCTTGTTTTAGTCTTGTTTTAGTCCGGTTTTAGTCTTGTTTTAGTCCTTTATTAGTCCAGTTTTAGTCTTGTTTTAGTCCTGGTTTAGTCCTGGTTTAGTCCTGGTTCAGTCCTGGTTCAGTCCTGGTTTAGTCCTGGTTCAGGCCGTTATCCGTTTTTTCCATTTTTCATTTAAACACAAAATTGAAAACTGAAAAAATGAATCAGTTTTTTCATTTTGGTTTTGGAGAAAAATAATGAAGAAAATAATTGTTGTTTTTTTCGTTTTCTTATTTTTGGTTTTATTTTGAAAAACAAATTAACGAATGACACACGGATTCAGCTGCTCCCGGCTTTTCTGTCGTCTGTTTGTCGTTGCTCCACGGACACAAACATGATCCAAACTTCTCCCGCGGTCGTTCTGATCATAATTGTGAAGCAACTGGAGAATTGACGAGGAGAAGAAGGAAGAAGACGAAGTGAGTGTGAGGCTGTTCCACCTCCGCCCACCCCCACATCCCTCTCACAAATCCAAAGAGACGAGGAGGAAAGTCCAAAGCCACGACTGATGGAGCCGGATCGAAGGACGACGCAACCATCAAGAACGACCGGGATTAATTTTAACAAGAATAAATGTGAAACATGTTTACAATAATCATTTTCTTTAGGAAATAAGTGTTTACCTGGTCTTTTTAAAGCGGAATTTATTTTTATTTGGAGTCATTAAAATTTTTTCCTACATTTTGCCCAGATTTTCACTTTATGAGAAGCAAAACTGTCATTACAGGAGTTTAGTTAGTCCCATCTTGTTTTAGTCCTTTTTTTAGTCCAGTTTAAGTCTTGTTTTAGTCCAGTTTAAGTCTTGTTTTAGTCCAGTTTAAGTCTTGTTTTAGTCCGGTTTTAGTCTTGTTTTAGTCCGGTTTTAGTCTTGTTTTAGTCCTTTTGTCGTCCTGTTTTAGTCCCGTTTTAGTCCCAGTTTAGTCCGGTTTTAGTCCTGTTTTAGTACTTTTGTCGTCCTGTTTTAGTCCAGTTTAAGTCTTGTTTTAGTCCCGTTTAGTTCCAGGGTTTAATCCTGATTTAGACCTGGTTTAGTATGTAGTCCTAATTTAGTCCCGTGTTAGTCCCATTTTAGTCTTATTTTAGTCCCGTTGAAAGTCCGAAGCCACGACTGATGGAGCCAGATCGAAGGACGACATGAGTAAGAACGACCGGAATTATTTTTAACAAAAATAAACGAGAAACATGATCCAGGAAGAAATTAATTCAGCTTCGGAATAAACCAAACTGTTACTTCGGAATTAAGTTTAATTCTGAATAATCATTTTCAGGAATTAAGTGTTTACATGGACTTTTTAAAGCAAGACTCATTTTTATTCAGAATTAAATATTTTTTATTCTGAGTTAAATCTTTCTTGTAAACGTGGTGCGCAGGTTCTTAGGACTAAACCAGGACTGTGGTGTTTGTCGTGAGTTTTTTCTGTCGTGGTTTTTCCCCGAGTCCGAGTCTGAAAACATGAGAGCTGCAGTTTTTATTTACACCTCAGCACAAGTCAGCAAAGAGCAAAGAGCTGAGCCAGGACCAAGACCAAGACCAGGATCAAGACCTGGACCAAGGCCTGGAGCAAGACCACGACCAATACCAGGGCGGGGACAAAAAAACCAGGACAAAGACCAGGACAAAGACCAGGAGCAAGGTCAAGACTAGGACCAAGACTGAAACCAAGACCACGATCGTGACCACAAGACCAGGACCAAGACCAGGACCTACACCAATATCAGTACCAAGACCTGGGCCAAGACTTGGGCTCAGACCTGACCAAGGACCAGGACCAAGCAAGGACCAATACCAGGACCAATACCAGGACCAAAACTAGGACCAAAACTAGGACCTAGATGAATACCAAGACCAAAACTAAGACTAAAACCAATACCAAGACCAAGACCAAGACCAAGACCAGGAGCAAGACCAAGACCAATACCAGGACCAAGACTAGGACTAAAACCAATACTAAGACCAATACCAACACCAAGAGCAAGACCAAGACCAAGACCAGGAGCAAGACCAAGAGCAAGACCAATACCAGGACCAAGACTAGGACTAAGACCAAGACCAATACCAAGACCAATACCAATACCAAGAGCAAGACCAAGACCAAGACCAAGACCAGGAGCAAGACCAAGAGCAAGACCAATACCAGGACCAAGACTAGGACTAAGACCAATACCAAGACCAAGGCCAAGACCAAGACCAGGACCAGGACCAAGAGCAAGACCAGGACCAAGATCAAGATCATGACCAAGACCAAGACCAAGACCAGGACAAAAACCAGGACCAAGACCTTAGACCAGGCATGTCCAAACTACGGCCCTTGGGCCAAATGCGGCCCCCGGACAAATTTTTCTTGGCCCTCAGGCTTCCAGGTGACTTGGCCCAAATTACCTTACATCATTTAAAAATTTACTTTTTACTGCAAGTTTTCTGAAAATCTACTTTGATAAAGCCAATATTGAAGATTTGGTGTGTGGTTTTGAGGATTGTAGCGTGAATAAAGACTGACTCATTCAAAGTGATAAACATGCACCTATTTCAATGATTCACTGTACTGAGCTCCCGTCTACGTCCCTCGATCGACCCTCTGCTTCAAATGTGTTTAGAAATGTGGCCCTTAATGAAAAAAGTTTGGACACCCCTGCCTTAGACTGTAAATATAAATGGACATATCTAGCTGCGGCTCCATTGACTCTGGCTCCAGTTCACTTTCTATTGAAAAACTCCCTCTGAGTTTTTGAAGAGAAAGAGTAAAATCGTGTGAGCTTCTCTGTTTTTTCTGCTGTCGTGTGGACGAGACACAAACTCAGAATATTTAAAAACCTGTAAAATGTTTTTTTTCTTTAAGATTCGTGTCTGTAAAAGTTTGTTTATGTTCAGGGCTGAACCTGAACTTAAAGTAACAACCACCCCTCCTCCTCCTCTTCTCCTCTCTTTCCTTCTCCTTTCACTCTCTCACTTCTTCCCTCTTTCCTCTCCTCCTCCTCTTTTCTCTCTCTCACGCTCTCTCTCTATATCTCTTATCCTCTCTCTCCTCTCCTCTCCCTCTCTCCTCTCCTCCGTCCCTCATGTCTTTGGCTCGGTGTTTTCTCAGTCCTTCGTGTTTTCATGGAGCAGGATGTGGTCAGCGTTTGGGAATCTAACTACAGACTCGTCTCTGTGAAACATGTAGATCTGCCCCGGAGCTCGGCCTTCCACAAACATCCACGGAACGACAAACTCTGATCAAAACTCTAACCAAACTCTGACCAAAACTTTCACCAAACGCTGCCCAAAACTCTGATCATACGCTGCCCAAAACTATGCCCAAATCTCTGCCCAAATCTCTGCCCAAATCTCTGACCAAAACTTTCACCAAACTCTGTCCAAACTCTGTCCAAACTCTGATCAAACTCTGATCAAAAACTCTGAAAAAACTCTGATCAAACTCTGATCAAACTCTGTCCAAAACTCTGTCCAAACTCTGCCCAAATCTCTGCCAAAACTCTGAAACTCTGCCAAACTCTGCCAAACTCTGCCAAACTCTGCCAAACTCTGAAACTCTGAAACTCTGCAAACTCTCTGTCCAAACTCTGTCCAAACTCTGCCCAAACTCTGTCCAAACTCTGTCCAAACTCTGCCCAAACTCTGCCCAAACTCTGATCAAACTCTGTCCAAACTCTGTCCAAACTCTGTCCAAACTCTGTCCAAACTCTGAAACTCTGTCCAAACTCTGATCAAACTCTGCCCAAACTCTGCCCAAACTCTGATCAAACTCTGTCCAAACTCTGATCAAACTCTGATCAAACTCTGCCCAAACTCTGATCAAACTCTGCCCAAACTCTGTCCAAACTCTGTCCAAACTCTGTCCAAACTCTGATCAAACTCTGCCCAAACTCTGCCCAAACTCTGCCCAAACTCTCCGAGACGTGAGAGAAAATACGACCCAAAATTCAACAAAACGACACTCTGAAAATACAGCAATTTAACTGCAAAATTTTAGTCTTTTTTCACTATTTTCACCAAGCGCCACAAACCCTGAAGACACAAAAGAACTTTAGAAACTGGACTAAACTCGTATTTGTTTTTATTATTATTATTATTATTATTATTATTATTATTATTATTATTATCACCACTCATAACCAGGCCCGTCAACAGAAATTTGGGGCCCTGGGCAAGAAGCTTCACATGCCCCCCCCCCCCCAAAAGATGGACCCCAGGACAACAGACCCTTTTGTCCCCACCCTGTCAAAATCCACATTTTTATTTTGCTGCGTTAATGTTTAATTTTCAGTTTCATTGGGGGCCCCCTCTAATATAAATTAATAGGAAGGAGGTCCAATTCTGGGCCCCTAAAAACCTAGAGCCCAGGACAACAGACCCTTTTGTCTCCACCCTGTCTATGGCCCTGCTCATAAAATATAAACACAACTATAAACCACAACAGTTTGTCTGAGCTGTCAAAGTCCATGTTTTTATTTCACTGCGTCATTAAAATAAAAGTTAATGTTTAATTTTTGCCCAAACTACATGAACTTTTACTTAAAAATTCTGTAAAATCCAGACAGTTTTATTGCAACAGAAATCTGGGGGGGCCCCATCTAAAATATATTAATACGAAGGAGGTCCAATTCTGGGCCCCTAAAACTTTTGGCCAGGGACAACAGACCATTTTTTATTTTGCTGCATCATTAAATTAAATGTTAACGTTTAATTTTTGGTCTTAAAAAAAAAATTAAAATAAAAAAATCCTGTTAAATGCAGACAGTTTCGGTACAACAGAAATTTGAGGGCCTGGGGTAAGAAGCCTCACATGGGCCCCCCTTTACTATCAGTTATTTCTGGGCTCCTAAAAGCTTTGGCCCTGGGACAACAGACCCTTTTGTCCCCACTGTGTCTACGGCCCTGCTCATAAATAATAAACAGACCTATAAACTTAAAATGCATGTTTTTATTTCGCTGCATCATTAAAATAAAAGTTAAATGTGTAATTTTTGGCCAAACTACATGAACTTTAACTTAAAAACCTGTTAAATCCAGAAAGTTTCATAACAACAGAAATCTGGGGGCCCCCCTCTCACATTAATTAATAGGAGGGAGGTCCAATTCCAATTCTGGGCCCCTAAAAGCCTGGAGCCCGGGACAACAGACCCTTTTGTCCCCACTGTGTCTACGGCCCTGTTCATAACTAATAAACAGACCTATAAACAAAAACAGTTTGTCTGAGCTGTCAAAGTCCATGTTTTTATTTCAATGCGTCATTAAAATAAATGTTAATGTTTAATTTTTGAACAAACTACATAAACTTTGACTTAAAAAAAATATCCTGTTAAATCCAGACAGTTTCATTACAACAGAAATTTGGGGGGCCCCATCTAATATAAATTAATAAGAAAGAAGTTTTAATTCTCAGCCCCTAAAAGCTTTGACCCGAGACACCCGACCCAAATTACATGAACATTAAATTTAAAAATCCTGTTAAATCCAGTTTCATTACAACAGAAATTTGGGGGCCTGGGGCAAGACGCCTCAATTGGGCCCCCCTCTAATATAAATTAATACATTTTTGGTCAAATTATATAAACTTTCATTTAAAAATCCTGTTAAATCCAGACAATTTCATTACTACAGTAAATTGGGGGCCCCATCTAATATAAATTAATAAGAAGGAGGTCCAATTCTGGGCCCCTAAAAGTTTTGGCCCCGGGACAAAAGACCATTTTGTCCCCTCCCTGTCTACGGCCCTGCTCATAAATAATAAACTGATCTATAAACTACAACTGTTTGTCTGAGCTGTCAAAGTCCATGTTTTTATTTAGCTGTGTCATTAAAATAAAAATAAATGTTTAATTTTTGGTCAAATTACATGAACTTTGACTTAAAATTCCTGTTAAATTTCAGTCCATGTATCATTTGTTCATTCGTTTTTCAATATAAAACCAAAAATAAGAAAATGAAAAAGCAACAGTTTTCTTCATTATTTGTCTCCAAAACCAAAATGAAAAAACAGATAATGATTTGTTTTTTCAGTTTTCGATTTTGTGTTTAAATGAAAAATGGAAAAAACGGATAACGGACGTTTCCTGTTTACGTGACGTCCGTGACTGTGATGCCGAACTTTTGCACCGCATACGGACTGAACCAGGACTGATCCAGGTCCAGGACCAGACTGGAACCAGAGCGGGACCAGGGTGGACTCCGAGCTTCAGCTTTGAGCTTCGGCCCTGCTGTGGGCTCTGAGCCTCCAGTCTAGTCCCGGTCTGGTCCCGGTCTGGTCCCGGTCTGGTCCCGGTCTGGTCCCGGTCTGGTCCAGGTCTGGTCCAGGTCTCAGTCCCGGTTTCAGTCACAGTCTGGTCCCGACCTAGTCCCGGTCTGGTCCAGGTCTCAGTCCCGGTTTCAGTCATGGTCTCAGTCTCGGTCTGGTCCTGGTCTCAGTTCTGATCTCAGTCTCGGTCTGGTCCCGGGCTGGTCCTGGGCTGGTCTTGGTCTCAGGCCCGGTCTCAGTCTCGGTCTGGTCCCAGCCTGGTCCCGGTCTGGTTCCAGTCTGGCCCCGGACCTGGATCAGTCCTGGTTCAGTCCGTACGTGGTGCAAAAGTCCAACCTCGCAGTCACTGAAGTCACGTAAACAGGAAAAGGCCGTTATCCGTTTTTTTTTTCCATTTTTCATTTAAACACAAAATCGAAAACTGAAAAACAAATCATTATCTGTTTTTTTCAGTTTGGCAAATAATGAAGAAAATAGTTCTTTTTCGTTTTCTTATTTTTGGTTTTATATTGAAAAACAAATGAACGAATGACACAGATTCAGTTTTGTTACACCTGCAGTTCAGTTTAAATCCTGTCAGAGACTAAATCGTGGCTCGTTTTGGACGTGAGCGGAGACTCTGTTTTGTTTTTCACAGTTACATAACGGAGCAGATGGAGCCGAGCGTTTAGATCTCGTATCAAAACGGATCCGACTCTTCGCAGGGACTCCCACAAAAATAACATTTATGAGAAAAGGACAGAGATTTAAGAGTCGCTGTGAGTGTGAGATTTCAGAGCGTGAGGAAGAAAACCAACACGACCTGCACGAGCCTAACACCAGCGACCAGTGCAAATACAACGACTGGATGGAATTAAGCGAAACAAACGGACGACACTCGCCTCCCTGTCTTGTGGATTATGAATGTAAATGTAGGTGGATAGTTTAAGTTTGTTTTTTTATTTCCTACAAGGACGATTCAGACATATGTTGAGTAATGATGTGTTTCTTTACATTTACAGAAACAAAAATGAAAACCACACGACTCATCTGCATAAACTATGAGCTCTGATAAAAACAGTTCTTTCCTTGTGTCGCTGATGTGGTTCAGCTTCTGTCGGACTAAACGACACGACTCAGTGGAATATGAATGTTTTCTCCAGCTGTTCTCAGGTCGGTCAGAACGGTGCCGGTGTCGGTTCCTGCACCAGTTCCACTGGGAACCAAAGTGTTCACCGATGAACGACCCGCGTTCAAACATTTACATGAACCATGACGCGTCATCGACAGAGGTGTGGATTTACCACCAAATAAAACAAGGCCAAATAAAAACAGACGTCACAGAGAAAAAAATAACAATCATGGATCACATCATCAACACCAGTGAGTTTGTATTTATATAAGTCATTATTTATGTGTCGAGCTCTGACACGACATGGATCTGCTGAGGAGAAGACGACAGTGACGCTCGATCTAAAGATGTAAACTTATCAAGCAAACACGGACACATGCAAGAAGAACGGTATGTAATAGTTTTTGTAGACTTAAAACTTTTAATTTCACACGTGATAGTTTCAGTTGGTCTTTGTTTGTTTGTTTTACTGTGTGTGACCTGCATGAATGTGCTGAGGTCTTCTGTGTCGTCATGGTTCCCTTAGAAAAAACAAGTTTTTCTTCCCGTTTGGAACCAACTTTTCGGTTCCTAAACGTCACTGAAGTGAGTCAGTTCAAGATTAGATGCAGGAACCAGCACCAGCACGATTCTGTGTCGGCCTGAAAACACCTTCTGTGACAGAGGAAGTTCTGCTGATGCTGAGTCTGTTCTGTGCTTCTGTCGAGTTGGAGATAGTTCATGTGAAACTTTTCAGATTATAAATCTGCAGGTCGTACACACAGACCGTACAGCCGTGTGGCTTTGTAGTTTACGAAAGTTGTACTAAAACATTTTGATAATGTGGTAAAACCGTAAACCCAGTAAAATGCTGAGAAGGTTTAATCCCTAACAAAATATGATCTTAATGATGCCCAGTCCTACTGAGAGGACAGAGTCTTCTCCACCACCGTCTGAAACTCCCAACGCAAACAAAAAACACATCAGACTCATCACACTCACCATCTTCAAAAGAGCCCTGAAAACTCTCCTGGTCAAATCTGTCTTTAAACATCTGCATCTCCTGTTCTTCTGTTTCTTTATTTGTGTTTGTCCTGATCTGTGTGAAGCGTCTTTGAGTGACGTGAAAAGTCTTATGTATTATAATGATTAAAACAGTGTAAAAGACTCACAGCGACGGGTCTGGAGCCCAGGAAGTTGAGGTCAGTGTTTTCTCCGAACAGATAACCCTCTGGATGAGTCGAGTCGAACTTCTCTCCGCCCATGATGAAGTGATTCGCAAAGTAGTTCCCTAAAAAAACAACAAAAACAGTCACGAGAATAAAACGATAATAAAAAAGAGGAAGAGACAGAGACAGAGATACACGTGAACATTGTCCTCTGCATTTGACCCGTCCTCAGTGTCTCTAAACCAGGTCTAATCTGGGACTAAACAGGGTCTAAACCAGGTCTAAACCAGGTCTAAACAGGGTCTAAACCAGGTCTCCACATAAAAAGACTGTTCTCGGTGCTGTTCCTCCTCCCTGTGCGTTTTCAAAATAATTGAATATTAGTTTTCAGATGAGACTAAACAAAGACTAAACCAGTACTAAACAAAGACTAAACCAGGACTAAACCAGGACTAAACATGGACTATTCCAGGTCTAATCGAAACCAGAATAATTCCAGGTTTAAACAATGACTAAACCAGGTCTAAACTAAAACTAAACCAAGACAATTCCAGGTCTAACCCACGACTAAACAAGGACTAAACAAGGTCTAATCTAGGACTAAACTAGGTCTAGACCAGGTCTAAACTAGGACTAAACAAGGATTAAACCAGGTCTAATCTAGGATTTAACTAGGGCTGAACCAGGTCAAAATCAGGACCATTCCAGGTCTACTCTAAGACTAAAGAAAGACTAAACAAGGACTAAACAAGGACCGAATCAGGAGTGTTCAGTCCTGGTTCAGTCCTGGTTTAGTCCTGGTTTAGACCTGGTTTAGTCCTGGTTTAGTCCTGGTTTAGACCTGGTTTAGTCCTGGTTTAGTCCTGGTTTAGTCCTGGTTTAGTCCTGGTTTAGACCTGGTTCAGTCCTGGTTTAGTCCTGGTTTAGTCCTGGTTTAGTCCCTGGTTTAGTCCTGGTTTAGTCCTGGTTCAGTCCTGGTTCAGTCCTGGTTCAGTCCTGGTTTAGTCCTGGTTTAGACCTGGTTTAGACCTGGTTTAGTCCTGGTTTAGTCCTGGTCCAGCATCACAGTTTAAATCATGTAAACTGGAAACGTCCATTATCCGTTTTTTCATTTTGATTTTAAAGACAAAAATTGAAGAAAATTGTTGTTTTTTCATTTTCAAAATTTAGATTTTATTTTGAAAAAACGACTGACACACGGACTGGGAGGGCATCTGACACACGACAACACCGCTGAGCCTTAAATCGTCGCCGTAAACACACTCAGAGCTTTAAATGAACGCTTTGCTCCATGACAAATCTGCAGCAGGGGTCACCGCGGCCGCCGACTTAATGCCAAAATTACACAGTGAAGCTTTAAATATGTGATTGTGAAAATGAACGTCAGCAAATACAAACTATATTTTATTTTATTTAAATTAAAGAACCCATTTTACTTCCTTTTTAAAATTTTTATCTGTGTTCTAATGTCGTTTCTTCGTCACAAACAAACCTGGAGTTGTGTTTTTTGTTTTTAATTTTAATTTTATGTATATTTTTTAGTCTGAGTCCTTCCCTCAAACTGAAAACACTCCGTTCCACCTTGTGATGTCATGAAGTGGGCATAAAGGAAGCGCTGCACTGTGTTTTTAAACTCCACGCACCTTCGCTAGAATCGTCTGGATCGTCGTTTCAGAGCTGGAATCGGCGACAAAATCTACTGAACTAAAAGTTAAAAAAAAAAAAAAAAAAAAAAGGAGCTGTTCACTTGAAAACTGCCAATTCATGACATCACGAGGTGGAGCAGAGCGTTTTGATGTAACATGATAAATCAGGACTAAACAAGGTCTAAACTAGGGCTAAACAAGAACTAAACCAGGTCTAATCTAGGACTAAACAAGGACTAAACCAGGTCTAATCTGGGACTAAACAAGGACTAAACCAGGACTGAACCAGGTCTAAACTAGGACTAAACAAGAACTAAACCAGGTCTAATCTAGGACTAAACAAGGACTAAACCAGGTCTAATCTGGGACTAAACAAGGACTAAACAAGGACTAAACCAGGTCTAATCTAGGACTAAACAAGGACTAAACCAGGTCTAATCTAGGACTAAACCAGGACTAATCTGGGACTAAACAAGGACTAAACCAGGTCTAAACTAGGACTAAACAAGAACTAAACCAGGTCTAAACTAGGACTAAACAAGAACTAAACCAGGTCTAATCTGGGACTAAACAAGGACTAAACCAGGTCTAATCTGGGACTAAACCAGGACTAATCTGGGACTAAACAAGGACTAAACCAGGTCTAAACTAGGACTAAACAAGAACTAAACCAGGTCTAATCTAGGGCTAAACAAGGACTAAACCAGGTCTAATCTAGGACTAAACAAGAACTAAACCAGGTCTAATCTAGGGCTAAACAAGGACTAAACCAGGACTAAACCAGGACTAATCTGGGACTAAACATTCATTCATGACATCACGAGGTGGAGCAGAGTGTTTTGAGTTTTGGAGATGTGGACAAACGTGTGAATGAAACAAAACACAGCTCCAGGTCTGTTTATGTTTTTGAGGAGGAAACATTAGAGCTCGACTTAAAGTTCATATGACTTTGTTTTGTGTAATAAAGTGTAAAACTTTTATACGTTAATCATTGTCTCTTTTTATTCTTTTATTGATGCCGAGAGTTTTTCACGTCAACTTCTGAGTCTGAGTCAGTCAAGTCATAAACCACTGTAAAAGTCTGGACTCACTGGTACTGAGTTTGATGAAATCAGGAAGTACAACGCATCTAAAACACAGACTCTCAGACTGGGTCTAAACCAGGTCTAAACCAGGTCTAAACCAGGTCTAAACCGGGACTAAACCAGGTCTAAACTAGGTCTAAACCAGGACTATTCCAGGTCCAATTTAGGAGTAAACAAGGACTATACCAGGTCTAATCTAAAACTAAATTAGGTCTAAACCAGGTCTAAACTAGGACTATTCCAGATCTAATCTAGGACTAAACAAGGACTAAACCAGATTTAAACTGGGACTATACCAGGTCTAATCTAAGACTAAACCAGGACAATTCCAGGTCTAAACTAGGTCTAATCCTGGTCTAAACCAGAACTATTTCAGATCTAATCTAGGTCTAAACAAGGACTAAACCAGGTCGAAAAACAGACCTAAAATAGGACTATACCAGGTCTAAACCAGGTCTAAACCAGGACTATTCCAGGTCTAATCTCAAACTACACAAGGACTAAACCAGGTCTATCCTGGGACTATACCAGGTCTATTCTAGGACTAAAACACAAGTCCAGGTTTGTTTTTGAGGAGGAAACAACATTTTAACGTCTTAAATCCCACAAAAGTCAATTTTGCGTAATAAAAGGATTTTAAGAGTGAAATATAAATCCAGTTTTTTTGGTCTCGTCTACAGGTCCCGTCGCCTCCTCGGCCTGTCAATCACAAGATCATCCTGTGTCTCGGTTTAGAATATTTCCTCCATCTCTGCGCCTTCAGTCTCCACCGGCTCAACCCTCCACCAAACCTCCCCCCGCGCGCTCCGGGCTTCACCGGGCTTCACCGGGCTTCACCGGGCCCTACTCACCGGACTTCGGCGGGTATCTGTACACCGAGTTGGACGGAATATCCACCTCCTCGACGCCCATGTTCTGCCGACTCGTGAGGGCCCCCATGGTGGTTCACTGCTGCCCGAGCCAAGCGTCGGAGCGGGGCATAGCACTCGGTGTGGGCTTTGTTCCTCTCGGTCTCCTCCTCCTCTCCGTCCGTCGCATTGATTTAAGCCCCTCGAAGCTGCGGCCAGCGACGCAAACCGAGCCGTCGTCGTGTCCCGGGATTAGCGCTCGCTCTGCCGGACCGCTGATCCCGTCGCTCTCGGGACGAACGCGCTGCGAAAAGGCGTGCGTAAAAGCTAGCCGTGGTGTAGCGGTGATAACGCGGGCGCTGGTGGCTCACGGAGGCAGAAACGCGCGTCGCGAAGTCGGTTTAAACGCACGGGGTTATAAAACGTAACTCCGGCGCTTTTCTGCTCGGTAAGCGTCGGTAAAAGCGTCCGCCCCCCCCCTTCGCCGCCGGCCCGGTTCGTGTCGTGGTGAGGCGGTACGGAGAGAGATCCCCTGGCATGACGTAAAGCACGCACAAATCTGGACCGTGCTTTTTGCGCAGTGGTCTCCTTGTGTTGGTTGGTTGTGGTGCTGGATGTTGAGGGGAGGGGAAAAAAATAGAAAAACACGACTGATTTATGACGTCACAAGCGCAGTGGAGAGCGACGATCGGGGTTCGAATCCCGATGCTGACATGTTTTTTTTTTGTTTGTTTGTTTTTTTATTTGTTTAAGTTAACTGTGTTTTTTGATGATAAACAAAACAGAGGCTAATAATTACGCGACAAACATTTATATCGTTTAATTTAATTTATCCACAACTATCAAAGGAAGAAAGACGAAAGCTTAAAGGGATAGTTCGTTTTTGTTTTTTTTCCATGAATCTGTATGGCATCCCCCGTGAGCAGTGTCGTACATCCACACTGACTTACCCCCGACAGCCGTTTTCGGTGCTGACGAAAGTAGTCCGGCAAGTTGGCAGGGGACAATAAAATAAAGCATTTTTCTTCTCAAAACAATATGTGTTCAAAAGAGTGATACGTTTGCATCACAAAACCAAAGTCGCCTAAAAAGTCAGACCTCATAATCGCTTGGCATTGTTTTCTCTCCGTTCATATTACTGCGCGACGACGCATTAGTGAACGACTGAGCAAAACTAATGTTATAATCACGAGTAAAATGGAAGTAACTTGTTCACTCAGACTGATCGATTTCATGATGTTGTAGATGTGTAATCTGTGAACATCTGTAGCATCCGAACTGCACGAATTTATCAATCTGTGCCAATACCGACATCATGAAATCGATTTTTTAATTTGAATTCTAGAAGCAGTCTGAGTGAACAAGTTACTTATTGATGAATTGCATACTACGTCTGTGATATTCATGACCATAATGTTAGTTTAGTTCAGTTTGTCGTCGTCGTTGTTTCCTTTAAGTTTTGTTCTTTCTTCTCTTGATAGTTGTGGATAAATTGTTCATGTTAGAATGTTTATCCTTTTGTGCAGATTTATGACCCCAGGAAGAATAGTCTTTACCCCAGAAAAGGGGTAATGGGGAGCCAATAAATAAATATACAAATAAATAAACAAATTATGAAGCTGATGGAAAATACGCAGACATTTACACAGACATTTTGCCATAGAAAAGCATTAACCAGGAGTTACTTTTACCCTACATCGTGGCACTTCTAGACGTTGTGAAAAAAGTCTATTGTGCCGTCAACCAGCAGAAGAAACAAACTTTAACAAAAATAAAATTATAAAAACTGATATTAAATAACAGTCAAAAATGTATTAAGAATACAATATGTCTTTATCTAGGATGACCAGACGTCCGTATTTATCCGGGACAATCCCAGTTTTGAGCCCCGTGTCCCATGTCCCCCAGCAGATTTATACAAAACCACTGATTTGTCCCAGTTTTATACAAGAAATTTCCCAAGTGTTTCTATTTTTTACCAATTTTACACCTGCCAGCAGTAAAGAGAGACATACATTGTAATTTGTTTAGGTAAAATACAGAAAAGCTCCTTAAAAATGACAAAAACACAAAGAAAATGTGACTCTACTGACTCACATTAGTGCTGAGTGCATAAAAATTTTCCTTAATTATGCGCTTGTTTCACAATTTTATTATTACCAACCACCACAAACCAGGGATGTGCACAGTCTATGGGGATGTCGCAGTTTTTTATTTTGAAAATCTTTATCAACTAAACTCTTAATAGCATAAGCTATGGAAATAAGAAGTAAATAATACTATTGTCTTTGCTTTTGAGTTAATATTGGATTTTGTGCTACTAAATATATACATATCTTCTTTTTTCCATTCTTTATTTATTTAAAACATTTTAAACATTAATTTCAGAGTGAAAATATGCTCTGTGCCATATTTAGCTACAAACTACTTTCCATCTGCAGTCCTTGGGCAGGTAGAACACACACTCTACTTTCTTCTGATCATCGCCGAGGTGCTTGGTATTTCAGTTTTAGAAAATAAATTCTGCTAATGTTGTTTTAAGTTAATATTAAATCACATTTTATTGTATTTTACATTTATCGACTGTTAAAACAAAGTTGTGATTTGCACTGCCGCTCCACACCGACAGAGGCCGCTGTAAAACTCCAGTCTGCTCTATATCCCCCCGAGACAGCCAATCAGAAAGGCACATTTCCGAGCTCAGCCAATCAGCGTCGACCACAGTGAAAAAGAAAGGTGAAGAGGAAGCTCATAAGCGCCCGCCGCCATTTCACGAAACAACAGCGCGGAGAAAACAACAAACGGCAACGGATTTTTAACTTAAACTTAACGTTAACACCCGAAATAACCGATTTTTTCTTATTCATTCGCGTTAAATTTCGTGTTTGTGTCTGTAAGTTGTAGATTTAAGAGTCACCGTTGTGGGGAAGCGGTCGTTTTCGTCGCGAACATGAGTTACGGTAGGCCTCCGCCGGACGTGGAGGGGATGACCTCGCTCAAAGTGGATAATCTCACGTACCGGACCCTCCCCGAGACCCTGCGCCGGGTCTTCGAGAAGTACGGCCGCGTGGGGGACGTGTACATCCCGCGGGACCGCTACACGAAGGAGAGCCGCGGCTTCGCCTTCGTCCGCTTCTTCGACAAGCGCGACGCGGAGGACGCCATGGACGCGATGGACGGCGCGCTGCTGGACGGGCGGGAGCTCCGGGTGCAGATGGCGCGGTACGGCCGACCTCCAGACCCCATGTACGGCCGCAGCAGCAGGGGGTCCGCTCCCAGGAGGTATGGTGGAGGGTACGGCCGCAGGAGCAGGAGGTGAGCCGGGGCCGCGCGGGTTTGTTGTGTTTTGCGCGTGCGGAGCTAGCGCGGAGCTAAAGCGGAGCTAAAGGCTAATACGTACGCAAGCACATGGCGCACCCGCGAGTAACGCTATGTCCTGGAGACATTTCTCACGTTTCCTGATTGATTTAACAGAGCGAAATATAGTTTAGTGCATTTTTATGTTACGCAACTTAGTTTTATTACTGCTACGAATATAGATCTTATTACGGTTTTTGTTCATTTTTGCATCAGGTGACCACGTTTTCTGTTCCATATGTTTTTATTCACGTGTAATCAGATAAAGCACAAACTTTTTTTCTTTCTTTTTTTTTTTTACGCAGATCAAACATAACTTGCAAAACTAACAAAAACTAATCACTCAAGAAATACGAGTCATAGAATATAATGGAATAATAACAAATATACAACTACTATTATTAATAACGCATACAAATTAAAAGCGAAAATGAAACGATAATAATAAAATAAAAGATGACAAAAAGGGGACTTGGCTTTAGGGGTGTGCAAAAATATTTCAATATCGTATTTAATATGACGATACAGTATCGATATTGTGAGCTGCTGTATCAAGTATTTTTTATTTATTTTTTGCATATTTTGCTAAATTATTTTGTTACAGCGCTATGGTTTTGTTTGCTCAGAGGAAGAAAATTTTGTGACACATTTGACATTTTCACAGTTTTGAGGATTCAAATCAAACCATAATAATAATCAAATAAAAGCAATAGTAATAATATTAAAAAGATAACAAAAAAGGGGGTTTGGCTTTAGGGTTGTACAAAAATATTGAAATAGCGATATATTGTTTAATATGATGATACAGTATCGATATTGTGAGCTGCTGTATTGAGTATTTTTGTGCATGTTTTACAAAATTATTTAGTTACAGAGCTAAAGTTTTGTTTAGAGGAAGGAAACCCGTTTTGCGACACATTTGACATTTTCACTGTTTTGAGGATTAAAATCAAACCATATTGATAATCAAATAAAAATAATGATACAGTATTGATATTGTGAGATGCTTTATCGAGTGTTTTTTGTTTTGTTTTTTGTGTGTGTGTGTGTGTGTGCATATTTTACTAAATTATTTACTTACAGCACTACAGTTTTATTGTTTAGAGCACTGGCCCGGGGGCCATATGCAGCCCTTTGATCTTTTTAATCCGGCCCGCCGAATTTGAATAATAATAATAATTAGAATTTTAAGTGTTTTAAGTCATTTCAGTACATAGTAAATACCGTGGGACTTGAAAGACAGATATTTTGTTGTAATCCTGTTGTAATGATTTTCAATTATGGGATATTTCAATAACATGGGATGTGTTTTCTACATATCCCATGTTATTTTTTTTCTTATGTGGTGGATAAAAAAAAACAACTCCATCTGCTTCTGATCCAGCCCTTCCGTCAAAATTTAGAACACTTTATGGCCCACGAGAGTCAGAACGTTTGCTCGCCCGTGGTTTAGAGGAAGGAAACCCGTTTTGCGACACATTTGACATTTTTACAGTTTTGATGATTAAAATAAAACCATAATGATAATCAAGTAAAAATAATAGTAGTAGTAATAATAAATGGATAACAATAAGGGGGGTTGACTTTATGGTTGTGCAAAAATATTTTGTAAATGTATCGTTTAATGTGGTGATACAGTATTGATATTGTGAGCTGCTGTATCGAGTATTTTTTGTGCATATTTTACAAAATTATTTAGTTATAGCGCTAAAGTTTTGTTGTTTGTTTAGAGGAAGGAAACTCGTTTTTGCGACACATTTGACATTTTCACTATTTCGAGGATTACAATGTTTGTGTTTTCATTTGAACTTTGCACAAGAAGTGGTTTAACTCTGACTCTGTCCCTCTCTCCTCAGCCGCTCGGACAGCAGGGGGCGCCGCCGACGTAGCCGCTCTCGCAGCCGGAGCCGCTCTCGGTCTCGCTCCCGCCGCTACAGCCGCTCCAGGTCCCGCTCCTACTCCAGGTCCAAGTCCCGCTCCAGATCCAAGTCCCGGTCCAAGTCCCGCTCCAGGTCCAAGTCGCGCAGCAGGACCCCGGCCTCCAACAAAGGGTCAAAGTCCAGGTCCAAATCCAGGTCGAGATCCAAGAGCAGACCCAAGTCCCCGGAAGACAACGGGACAGAGTCTTAAAAACCCCACGGAGCCAGGTATTCACCGTTTTACTCTTTTTATTATAACACCAAACACAGCAGGTTTATGTCTGGGGTAGATTTACTCTCAAACTTTAGCCTCTTTTGGTGAAATCAGGATCATCAAACACTAAACATCAAGTTTTATCAGGCGCTATTTTGTTTAGAAACGCATTAAACAAAAACCCACTGAGACAAGTATTGAACATTCTGCTCTTTCACTATAACCCAACACAAAAAGTAGTTGTCGGAAGTCGATTATAAAAAAATACTGACAAAATCCACCGTCTTTTTGGCAAGCAGACAGACAAACTTTCGCAGAAATTAGCCAAAACTAAACATTTTTTGTAAAAAAAAAAAAAAAAAAGTACACACTGTTGGTTTAATGTGAGTTTTATTTAGACGAGACGATCCTGATCTCTTTTTATTTTACAGTGACCAAAACAAGTCACTGAATATCCTATAATAGCTTTAAGGGCAGGGACATGTTCTGTAGATTTTAGTGGAAGTTGAAAGTTAAACATTGAAACTTCGATTTGAACTTTGTACTCAGATAAGAAGTTATGTTACTGTGTCCAGCTCCACCAAACCATAAACGGAGGTGAAGTGAGTAAACTGAACAGGGCTGGACAAAGGGTTTTTTGTGAAGAAATAGTCATTGTTACTTTATCGTTTTGTTTTTATATTTTTATTGAGCTTTGTTTTACATTGCACCACATTGCATTGGTGTAAATTCCTAGTTTGCGAATTCTACTTTTGAACAAAACAAATGTCAAGTGGGAAGTGGATTTTGGGCGGGGGGAGGTGGTCGTATCTGGTTTGCTAAACGCTGAATTTTTTCCTCCAAGCTGCTGCTGGAGTGGAGCAGAGGAGGAGAGGAGGAGAGGAGGGTGGTGTGGTGTGAGAGGAGAGCAGTTAGAGAGAAGGAGGAGGAGACGCCCAGGGACCAGCTCCTGCCCTGGGCTCCTGAGCAGCAGCAGAGGCGGGGGGTGGAGCTGGTGGTGTGTGAGGTGATGATGGTGTGGTGAGGTACGTTCTTGGGGCCACAGGAAGGGGGCGCTGCGCTGCGACGCCTACAGGTTTGTGCTCTCACATCAGAAGGACGAGCGGTGAGCAGCTCTGTGGGCTGCAGACGTAGGGTCCAATATTCTGCACTTTAACATGAAGGGCTGGGCAGTAGGACCAACTAACCCCTGAGGTAAGGCTCAAAGAAAACTAGAAGTGGACCAGAATTGAGTCTGAACTTGAATTTTTCAAAGCCTGGACTCAGAATCTTCACTGATCCTCGACACGGGGGAAAACTGGGCATTAACTTATAAGAGTTACACTCCCAGAATCTCCTTGAGACTTGATCGAGCTCATTTAGTGCAACTGCTGTTTTCAAGTAGAACTAAAAATGTCCAGACTTCTTTCTATGGAGCTGGAGATGTCTCTGATCTACTTGGAATGTTCCACAGTGTGACTTTAAACAGCTCTACTTTACATTTATTCAATCACAGCTGATTTTACAGCTCAAAAATACATAGAAAAACAGACAGTGTGACTGTGAGCGCAGTCGCCTCTCCACAGATCTGACCTGTGACTTGGTCTAGTTTGGTTTTGGATGTTATTAAACCTTTTTATCTTCATGGAGACCAAACCGGACCAAGTTACAGGTCAGATCTGTGGAGAGGCGACCCCGATCAGTCAGAACTAAGGATGGGCTTGATTAGTCGACTGATCCGTAAATTGATCATTAAGAATTTTGTCGATTACGTTTGTTTTTATTCGACAAACCAAATGTAGGTTTCTGTGCGTAGAGACGAGGCTGCGTCTGACACAAACACCGGAGTTGCGGCCTCACAGTCCCACGTTTGGGCTCTGGCTCCTCCTTGGAGAGGAGCAGTTTTTTTCCCCGCTTCGTTTATGCAAATGAGCCATGCAGTTGCAAGTTTAGTTTCTGTGGGACTTGCACAAAGCTGCATCAAACACATAATGTCAAACAGGCTGATGTGGCTCTAGAGCGTTTATGGTTTAAATGTAAAGTTCAGTTTATTTATGCAGATTAGTAAAAGTAATAACAGTTATGATCATTTGAATATAAAAATTTTAATGATTAATCGAAAATGGATCAAAAATTTAATCAAATGCCCATCCCAGGTCAGAACGCCTGTTTTTCGAGGTGGTATTGAGCTACAAAAAAAAATTGATTCATTAGATATAAAGTGGAGCTGTTTAATGTCACACTGTGGAACATTCCGGGCACAGAAACAAGCAGGTGAAGGACCCTCCACCAGAAAAGTGACACTAAGCACCTTTTTAAAGTTTCAACATCAGATTGTGTTCAGTTTAAAACTTCCGCCTGGACTCAGAATCTTCACTGAGAGCCTCGACTCGGAGGAAAACTAGGACCGGACTTTTAAACGTTACACTCCCAGAATCTCCTTGAAACTCGGTCGAGCTCATTTAGCGCAACTGCTGCTTTCAAGTAGAAGTGAAAATGTCCAAACTTTGCTCAAACCACAGTTGAAATGCTCTGATAAACCAGGCAGCGCTTTAAGGACTGAAGGGCAAGAGGAGAAAACGGACTCAGACTCCGCTCCGAGAATTCTTCAGAAACAAAAGATTGCATACAAGTTTAGTTTAGATGAATGGAAGGATTCTAAAATCTTTTACCAAGACGTACATCAGGTGTTTGAACCGACCGTCCGTGTGGTTTTTGTCCTGATCCAAACTGAGCCGTAGACTTTTTTTTATTATTACTGATGTGGTAAAAGTGCCCAGCCCTGATCATGTCCAGGCCTCATTCTCAGCCTCTCTCTCTCTCTCACTCTCTCTCGTCTCTGGCTCTTTCCACTCACTAGTTTTTGTTCTTTCTTTTTCCACAGAACTCTGCGGACCCACGGACGCCACGACTAAAAACCACCCACGCTTCCACTCACCCAGCCTGAAAGGTTAACGGAGCTCGGTCTAACTATTTTAACGATAAACACGATTTCTGCCTAAAGGTTCTGTCCATCCTTTAAAAAAAACAAAAAAAAAACTGTTTGCGAAGCTGAGAATTTTCACATGTCGCTTGCGTATTTTTATTTGGTTGAGTAACATTGTTCTTGTCAATAAACGTTTTGTTTCTTTCAAATCTTTTACCATTGATATGAGGAGCTGATTTTGTTTTGGTGAGGCGTTCTCTCAAAAGTGGTGTACTAGTTTAATTCACTGAACTCAAATGTTACGTTAAAGAACAGGGAGCTGTGACGTAGGTTGTGTTCACGTGACATTCACACATTTTGTAGAATCCCTGTAGTTTAAACTGAGCTGGAGATGGTAGAATTAGATTTTTTAACAGTCAGGTTGCAGATTTGTTGACCCTCGAAACAAAAACTTACCCAAAGTCCAGGGTTAATAAAAGTGAATTTGCTTTTTTCACAACCTCTTCAGAAAGCGGAGTCATTATTCAACCCCAAAAACGTGAATGTTGTCAGCTGAAGAGACTTTAAGGCATAAAAAGCAGCAACTGTGAGTACCGTATTTTTCAGACTATAAGTCGCATCAGCCAAAAAAATGTGTAACGAAGAAGTAAAAAACATAAGTCACACTTTTTGGGGGAAATTAATTTGATAAAGTCAGAGACCAGGAACCGACATTTCTATTTATTCAATTACAGGTGAATTTATACCGTATTTTTCAGACTATAAGCTCCAGAGTATAAGTTGCCCCGGCCCAAAAATGTGTAATGAAGAAGTAAAAAACATAAGTCACACTTTTTGGGGGAAATATATTTTATAAAATCAGAGACCAGGAACCAACATTTCCTGTGTAAAGTCAAGTTCTAGTAATAAAACAACAGACTGTTAACGTCACATATAACAGTTCTTCAGATAAACTATAACATAAACAACAGAACAAGTTTAACCAAACTCTCCATCTCACTTCAAATCACTAAATCCATTCAATTCTTCATCCTCGGTGTCACTTCTGAACAACTCTGCCTCGACCTCTGGAGGTAAACAGAGCGACGCAAACTCTTCTGTGTCGCTGTCGTCAGACTCGGCATCAGTTCCATTTAGAATTATTCGGGTTTTTCTGAATCCTGACAGTATTTCGGTTTTGGTGTCACTGAAGTCCAGGCTTTGTCCATCCATCCAGTGACTTCAGGAAAGTTTTATGTGCATCTCCCGGTGTCACAAGTTTCTCTCTCACTCCAAACTTTCTTTCTGCTGCTCAATTTTCATTTTTAGCTGCAGATTTCACGACTTTTTGTTCAGTCTTCTCAAGTTTAAATGTTAAATTGTTCAGTGGTGCAGAAGTAACGGTGTGATCGATTGACATGATACAGACAGGACAGAGGCTCTTTCTGCAGGAGACATGCGCAGTAGAGCCAAATGACAGCGGTACAGGAGGAACAGGAGCAGCAGAGACTCACACACAAGACTAGAACCTCTCCACGCTTTACTCAAACATTTTAATATAGAAGTCACAGGAAACACCCAAACCATGAAGAAAAAGTGCGACTTGTAGTCCAAAAAATACGGTAATGTCACATTTATTGACGTAGGTCCAACTTTTGAGGTTTAATTTCAGACATTTCTTACAAAAACAATCCCCCGTAGAGTCACAAAGCCCCTTCTGCTCAGAACTTCCCACCGAATCCCAAACTCTCGTGAACGCAGCCTATCGTCAGCATAGCATTTGCGCTCCTGCCTGACCTCTGACCTCTAACCTGTGTTTATCTCTCGCACTAGGCCCAGAGTTGGCGCAGTTGTAGCAGTAGCAGATTTGGTGGTTATGGCAGTGTGGTGGTGAACGTGATGCTGCCGGTTTGTACGCTGTGCAAGGTCCACTCTCTTTTACAGTTCTCTACAGACCTCTCTCCCTCCTCCCCCTCCCTCCATCTCCGCAGACGGGCCCCCCACTCGCTCGCCGGCGCCGCACCCACGGGCCTTTTGTGGTCACCCGTACAGTTAAACGTATTTACGCTCGAAATATACGTAAAAACAGCGCGAGTTTGATTGCCTTTCTGTAAAAATACCCCCTAAAAAATCTCTTCTAACATGTTAAAGCCGCACTGTGTAACTTTTTGGTTGCGGTTGGAGCTTCATGATCTTCTTGTTTCTATGGATACGTCATCGCTCTGCCTGGAATGTCCCACAGTATAACTTTAAACAGCTCTGCTTTACTTCTATTCAATTGCATGTCTTGTTTTTACGGCCCAGAAACGCCTAGAAAAATGACAGACGTTCTGACCGTGAGCGGGGTCGCCTCTCCACAGATCTGACTCGTAGCTCGGCTTAGTGGCTCACCTGCTTGTCTCCGTGAAGACAGACGAGTTTAATGTCGTACTGCGGAACATTCCAGGCAAAGCGATGACGTCCAAATGGAGAAAAGTTCGATTGCGTCGCAGATTTTTTTTCCCCCTAAAAAACGAGGAAAACAGAACAGTGGTCCAGAGTTACAACAACTAGCATGCTAACACACACTTCTAGATTCTTCCCGATTACTAGACAATGAAACAAACGTGCCTGTTTCCGTGGAGATGTCTTTGCTCTGCCTGGAATGTCCCACAGTATGACTTTAAACAGCTCAACTTTACATTTATTCAATTTCAGGTGTTTTTTTACGGCTCAAAAACGCCTAGAAAAGTGAGTGTTCTGAGTGTGAGCGGGGTCGCCTCTCCACAGATCTGACTCGTAGCTTGGTCTGGATTGGCCTAGAATGTAATTAAACCAAACCAGACCAAGTTACAGGTCAGATCTGTGGAGAGGCGACCCCGCTCACAGTCAGAACACCTGATTTTTGAGGTATTTTTGAGCGTTAAAACCACCTGTGATTGAATAAATTTTAAGTTGAGCTGTTTTAATGTCACACTGCGGGACATTCCAGACAGAGCAACGATCTGATCTCCATAGAAACGGACCTCCAACTAGAAAAGTTACACAATGCACCTTTTTAAAGTTTTAACATTGGATTGTGTTAGTTTTAAAACTTGCGCCAATGCCAAACCGGCAAACTCCGCGTTTCGTCGCTCGTTTACGTCGTTTTGCGGGGCCCCGTCTGTTTCTCTGTTCTTTTTGTTGCTGTTTTTTTTTTTTTTTTTTTTTGGGTTGAGTTTGACCCGAAGTGAAGGGTTTTAGAGCAGAGGAAAAACCTGCTCGGATTTTCTCTTGTAAAGTGTATTTTCGTGCACTCGTGTCTACGCTTCATGTGCTGCAGGTATTCATCAATAAAACATTTCCTTGTAAAAATACAAAAATGGAGTGATTTTGTTTTGTTTTTTTTAGTTCATGTTTACAAGATGTTATGTTTACCACAGTTAATTTTGTTACAGAGTATATTTTTGTCAATGAATGGTTTGGAATATTTTCTACTACTTACAAAAATGACCCAAAACTATGAAAAGACTAAAGCTTCACTGTGTAACTTTGCAGGTGGAGGCTCCGTCACCATGGAGATAATATTTTGCTTGGGATTTTTCACAATCTGATACTAACCTTAACTGTTTCCATGGGGACAAACCAATTAACAGGTCATATTTGTGGAGAAATGGAGCCTAGTAGAATGCATGTATTGTTTTATTGTAAAAAAGAAAAGCTGTAGTTAATAAATAATAAGCAAATTTAATGCCATAGTGCGGTACTTTCCAGAAAAAAAAAATCTCCTGCATTTCTCTATGGACACAATCAGGTTTTATCAGAAAAGTTGCATAGGACCTGAAGAAAGTGTATTGCAATATATATTTTTGTGTGATTTTCTGTATTTGGAGGTAAATTAACACCTTAACATTTAGATTTTGCTCATTTTATTTAATTTTTTTATTATAATGTCCTCTGTAATTGACGTCGGGGACATTTTGGTGTTAAATCCATCCCCACCCTTTTTACCTCATGCATGCATTTGTTTTAGAGGTATTTTTTGTAAGGAAACCTCACTTTTTCATCGTTTAGTCATAAACTCTTATTAGTCTTACCAGCTCATCAAAACAATGATATTTACTGGCTTTTTTTATAAAGAAATACAATTAATATGGGCCCTCCACAATATTTTCTGTTTCTCATGTGGTCCCATGGAGAAAAAGTCCACCCATGACATTACCCAACACCTGCAGATTAATGAAGCATTGACAATTTAAAACAAAATCAATTCTGACGTCGTTACTGAACAGTGAAAGTCCAGAAAGTGTCGCTAACACCAGGAAGCACTAAACCGTATACTGCTCTATTGTTCGCTTCCGGAAAACATTCACTTGATAAGAGGGTTACCCAGAAACCAGTCGTAAATCCAGGATGGAGCCGGACTGGAGCTGGACTGGAGCCGGACTGGAGCTGGACTGGAGCCGGACTGGAGCTGGACTGGAGCCGGACTGAAGGCGGACTGGAGCCGGACTGGAGCCGGACTGGAGCCGGACTGCAGCCGGACTGGAGCCGGACTGGAGCCGGACTTGAGGTGGACTGGAGCCTGAAGGCGGACTGGATGTGGACTGGAGCCAGACTGGAGCCAGACTGGAGCTGTGCCCGGGAAGTGCCGCTGCGGAGGCGGACAGACGGGACTCTTTGGCCGCCGCTCGCCGCTTTAGTCACCGCTGGAGGTGATGAGATTACCACGGAGCTGAGCCAGAGACGCACGTTGCAGAGGATCGTGCCTTTTGGTGATTCACTGGCCTATCAAAAAAAAAAAAATAAAAAATAGTAAATAAATAAAATAAGGCTGTTTCCATGGCAATTAACAACAGAAATCACTCTAACAAAAAACATAAGTACATAAAAAATAAATACATGTATAATATTAATAATAGAAAAAACTATATATATAATAATACATACAAATAATATATTATTATCATGATTATTATTATTATTAATAATAATAATAATTATATAAAAAAGAATAATAGAAAAAAAAAGCTAAATATATAATATTACATAAAAGGAAGTATTATGGACAAAAATTAACTAATCATTTTTAAAGAGTGAATTTCTTGGACATTTTTCTTAGCAAGCCTAGGTCTGTAAGTCTTTTGACGTACATACATAAAAAACAAACAAAAAAAACAACTTCAATAAAAATTTGCACACACCTAAAACTGTATTTACTTTCATACATTTTAATGTCACCATGAAATAAAATGTATAGTCATTAAAACAATAATACTACATAATTTTGAATTTTAACAGGTAATATGTTAAAAAGATTTATCCAGAATATATTTAATTGTTGTTTAATACATAATTTAACTGTTGTTTCATATATTTAATTACCCTTTAATATGTTTAATTTTTACCGTTGGCAATACTAACTGTAGTATAATTGATTGACACTGAGCAGGGACCAATCACAAGCCGTATTTTTGAGCTAATCCCGCCCCTTTTGCTGAACTGACCAATCAGAAGCGAGCAGACGAGCCCACACTCCGTTAGTGTGTGATCCGCGGACAGACAGGTAACGGGATGGACGCGTGCGGATTATGTCTCTAAAAACCTCTTAAAACCAAAATAAACACTACCAAACACTATAAAAAATGGATGTAAGTTTGATGTTAGCCGCTGTTATCTTCACGTTACTGGCCATTGTGGTCGCTACGTCGATGTTTACGGGCACTTCGCCGTCTTCGGACTACGGACGGAGACCGGCGGTGAGCGTAGCCGAGAAGGAGCGCGCTCCCCCGGCCACGCACAACGGACACGTCCCCCCCTCTTCCCCGGAGCGAAAGCCGAGTAAACCTGCGGAGTTTGACTGGAGTGAGATGAGTGGCAGCTCGCACGATCACTGGGACGTGGTGAAAAATGTGCAGTCGGTGAGTAAAGTGCAGATGGATGCGCCTAAACGGACACTAGTTTATGTCATTAGCGCGTAATCCGACTCAATCACTGTCGTCTGCAGCGGCCACACAACAACCACAAGAAGTTCACTTAACCCATTAATGCACCTTTATTACCCAGAGATTTTCCATTTGGAGCACTTTAGAATCATCATGTATTATTTTTTAATGAAAATTATCAAAAAGTGCACAGTTACGGCCGGTTTAATGTAAAAAAAACAAAACAACAAAACCACTCTATTAGGGCTGGGTATCGTTAAGAAGTTGCCGATACGATACATACCTCGATACATAGGCCACAATATGATACATACTTTGATACGTAGGCCACAATACAATACATATCTCGATACACAGGCCACGATACGATAAATATCTAACAAAAATGCTTCCTCAGACTTGTCCCAGTTGCAGGAAGAAGATTTTGGATGTTCCTCAGACTTGTTTCAATGTGGAGAAGTTTCATATTAACACATTTGTGATAATCAACAAGAACTGGTTTACACGGTCTGTACGTTTAACCTGATCTGGAGTCTCAGGTGGAGTTTGCTGTAACTGTCAGATGCAGATTTGTAGAGCTGGTTTATGGTTCATATCTCTGTATTAACTGGACTTATCAGCGTCTTCTCTGTCATTATAAGTAAACAAAAGTGAAATAATGTTTTCACAGTCGCTCCAGAAAGTGGTGCCATTATTCAACTCTAAAGACGTGACAGTTTTCAGCAGAGCCAGTCCCAAACAAATAAAAATAACAATACTAAATTTGGAGATTTCTTTCAAAAATTACGAGACTCCCATTATCCCAAAGCGATATTGGCTCTTCTCTTCCGGACACGGTGATACGGAAAAAAAATCAATCAGTATATTCAGTTTGGTTTTTACTTGTCTTAATTAAAAACAAATAAAAACTGGTATTATATTATTTTCCAGAACATAAATGAGCCACATGTTTAATGAGTGTGTTTTAACACAAAGCCCATGGTAGAGTTCACAGCTTGGACCATCGTCAGGTGAGTTTCACACCTTTGCTGCAGAGGCAGGTGAGGCGGGGTTTGTGCACCTGCCAGTACACCTGCCAGTACACCTGCCTGTACACCTGCCTGTACACCTGCCTGTACACCTGCCTGTGGTGACAGAAAGCTTCAAAATGATGGGGGATACTTACAAATGAAATTATTGACCAAAGTCAGACATGCTTTAATCCTGTTTGACATTTGACTCGATATTTCCAGTGTTTTTCTGTAGTCCAGAAGACGATTATAATTATTTTAATAGATAAATAGCCATGATTGTTCAAATTAATTGGTTCAGTCCATGATCTGTGTAAAAAAATGACCTGAGGGAGCGTGACGTCACCCACAGCGTTCGGCTCCAGTCAAATGAAGCTCATTGAAGCTACCAACAGGCTCTATTCACACTTACTGAAAGACGTTTGGAAACATGCAGATGACGACTTCTGGGGCACCGTATTTTTCAAACTAGATGTTGCTCCGGAGTATAAGTGACACCAGCCAAAAAATGCATAATGAAGAAGAAAAAAAACATATGGAAGTCGCACTTTTTGTGGGAAATTTATTATATTTATATAAATACAAGAGACCAGGAACCGACGTTCAGTTTAGTTTAGTTTTTTTTTTATTATTTATCAGGGACAGTGCACATAAAAACATTGAGCTACACAAAGAGGTCATATGTTTGTGTAGGTTTGATCAAAATTGCTAATTTCGACTTTCAGTCCTTAGACAGGTTGATGTCATAAATGGCGCACATGTCAATAAAATACAGTACAATGTTTAACAAGGAGAAAATTCAGTTTGTCGACTGGACCAAAGTTAGTTTGGTTGAAGACGTTTCACAGCTCATCCAAGCTGCTTCTTCAGTTCTGGTCAGACGCTGGTGGACACTTCCTTATATCTGCAGGGAGGAGCTAAATACACTGAAACTACACTGAAACTACTCTGAAACTAACACACACTTGTTTACAGTTTCTGTTTGTTAGTTTGGCCTGTTGACCTGTGCGGGGTGTGGGGTCTAATTAACAGAATAATTCATGGCCATAATGGAGGTTCCAGATAAAAGGAAGTGTCACCAGCGTCTGACCAGAACTGAAGAAGCAGCTTGGATGAGCTGAGAAACGTCTTCAACCAAACCTGTTAGTAACTTTAGCGAAAGAGACCTCAGGGAAAGGAAGTCGTCTGATTAGTTATCAGCGTTCATGTCTTGATTTACAGATAAAAAAGCCAAATGAAGAGTTATAGAGAGAGAGAACCGCGCTTTTTCAACAGAGAGTGAACTGGAGCCAGAATCAACGGAGCCAAATCACGTCCACGCTCACGTCTGGAGCTTTAAAGTTTGTTAGTAAATTCTGAACTGTTGTATTTTGTGTCCAGGAGGAGGAGCAGCTGAGCACAGACCTGTCCAGACCTCCGTCCAGCTCCTCCTCAGGCCGCGGCTCCTACATCAACCTGTCAGACTCCGAGCTCCTCAAGTGCGCCTTCCCTTTACCACAGACAGAGGGCGCCGCTGAGAGCTCAGACCACACCGGTGTGTTAGTAAACGACTGAGCTGCTCCTCTGACCTTCTCCTCTGACCTTCTGACCCTCTCCTCTGCTCCTCTGACCTTCTGACCCTCTCCTCTGACCTTCTGACCCTCTCCTCTGCTCCTCTGACCTTCTCCTCTGACCTTCTCCTGTGTATAATTTCAGACAAAGTGGACTCAAACTCGAGTTTCCGGTACCTCCCGGGGAAATCTCGCTCTCATCATTTACAGATGATGATGTCCAAAGACGAGCTGGAGGAGGAGCAGAGGTGAGTGTTGTATTTTCTGAAGATAATGAGGACTCATGGAGCACAGCTGAGTAGAGCTGCACGGAGGTGGCTGGAGTTTTCTCAGAGAGTCGACAGTTTGAGTTTCGTCCTCCTTCAGTTTTTCAGGCTCAGGTGTTTCGTCGCCCTCGGCCCTGAGACCCACCAACACGTCACCAGAGTCTGAGCTGCTGGAGGACTTTGTTTTCAGTTTCATTTAGTGTCGTTTGGTTAAAGGTGCACTATGTAACTCTTCAGTGCAGAGCAAATAGATTTTTTGTAATAAAAAGATTCTTACTGAGGGTGAGGTCGCCTCTCCACAGATCTGATCTGTGACTTGGCTTGGTGGTTTCCCCTGCTTGTTTCCATGGAGATATATATATATATATATATGTATGTTTAATGCTGTTCTCTGTTAGCCTGTACTGTCTCAGTCTACACTTTCACTTGGTGGAAACCGTCTGACCTCGCAGCATTAGGATTCATTCACTCGACAGTGGGCGGGTACTTTTTTTTATTGAACCAATCGCTGCTGTTTGGTCGTGACGTATGTAATGCTCCAAATCCCTCAGCAAGAAGGACAATAATGCCTTACTCCTTGATAAAATTCACCAAACATTCTCTTTGTTCCCGCTTTAAATCCTCGGGGATCTCGGGAATCGTTGCCAACACAGAATGTCTGTCTTCGTCTACATCCATCTCGACGCTTTGTTTACTGTTGTGCTGTTCCACAAAAGGGACACAGACGCTACAAGTTTGATGTCATGACTTCACAGATCACAGTGCGAGTTCCTCCAAACTGTCTAGTGTTTTCTGATTCCTGATCTAGT